TTTTTTTTTTTGCTTTTCAATTTTTAATCATGACACATAGCTTTTTAATTAATGTAATCCAATAAAATAAAGTACAAGTCAAAGGTAAATAAAAAAAAAAAAAAACATTGCAATTATTTATGAATACAATTGTGAATTAAAACAGTGCAAACAACAAAATAATCCAACTGAGAACTACTTAAACGTCAATTTCCAAGGAAATAAATGAAACTTGATCTGCAATAAAAAAAAAAGAAAAACGAAAAAACATTAGCATTAACAGCAACACAGAAAAAGTGAACTAACAAAATACAGAGCAAGACTGACCAACATTAAAAATTAAAAACAAATTTACATACATATATGTATATACTGATATACATGGATGCATATGTATGCCAATGCCTTGCGTGAGAGGTGCGTTCAAAAACGGTGGCAGTCTAGCGGCATGCAATACTTGTAGCTACAAGCAAAGTGGAAAAAAGCTTGTAAAAAAAATTTAAATGCCCAGCACTTTTGGTGCAAAAAATATGAAATCGATTTTCAAGCGTCAAACTTAATGCCAAATATTTGCGAATAACAACAAAAAGTATAGCAAAAATTTGCGCACGGCAGTCACGTGTAAGTAAGTGTTTCTATGTTTTATGTTTTTGCTTACTTTTCACTAAAAATGCAATTAATTAAAACCGATTGCACTCTACGCACCAAACAAGACTTCAATGCATTTAACCAGACCAAAAAGCTTAATTGTGTTTATTTGCTCACGAACTATGCTTTCATGCTTAAGTACATACATATATACCAACATATATACATACATACATATGTAGCTCTGTATGGCCGCATGCATTTAATTCCGTATGAGTTAATGCGCCACGCGTAAATGATTAGAATTTCAAAACTACATACATACATATGTAAATATACACGACATTAGGGCGGCACAATTTTTTTTTCCAGGAATGCCCAGTACTGAATAATTTCGAAAGTAAGGAGACCGTATTTTTTTTTATTTTGAAAGCGGTTAAAATTTACCGTACCGCTGGCGCTTTCAAGTTTTCCATTATTTCACATGGGGAAAATTTATTTTTTCAGGAACTGCTATAAAATCGTTACAAATAAATATTTTTTGATCGAATTAAAGTAATAACCTTCTGCAATTTTCCAACAATAGAATTAGCATCCAATTCAACTTTAAAATTTTAAAAACTATTTTTTCAAAACCGATAATCTCATCTCTTATTCTGAAAAATTAGTTTTTTTTATGCATTCGTTACCGCATCACGCACGTTTTGAGAAAATAGTTAGTAAAATTTGAACGTTCAATTTGCATAATAATTCTATTCTTTGAAGATTTTTGAAGGGAAATATTTTTATTCGAACAGAAAAGATTTATTTTTAATAATTTTACAACAATTTTTCGAAAATATTTATTTTTCCCACATAAAATATGGATATTGGAAGCCTCAAAGCACCGGCGCACAGTGATCTATTTTCGAAAAAAAAAAATCAAATATCTCTAGAACCAAAATAAATGGCGATAAAAAAATTTAACGTTTTGTTTTTTAAGTTTTTGAGATGGAGAATTCAGTCAAAATAGTCTCGTTGGATAGAGGAATCACCCTGAGCTTTAAAATGTCATTCAAATATAGAAGGCTTTACATTTTTTATATTTTTTAGCTTGAAACCACTCTGCACTGTATTTTTTAAAGAGTTTTAAATATTCATTTCCATGGTTACAAAAATTAGAAAAGGCATGGAATTTTTTTTTAAATTCATCGCATGCAATTTTTAGGTAAAAGAAAAAAAATCCAAATCGTTACATCTGAAGGTCGGTTTTGAGTTAAAGGTATTTTTTTTGTTCCATCAGATTTTTAAAATGTTCTTCCAAAGTAAAATTTTTAACTTGTGTAATAAATTAAAAAAAGGAGATTTAAATTGAGGTTTTCGGTTTTCGCAACCATGAATTCCTTGAGGCAAAAACAGAAAATATATGCGTGTGAATTCTCCAACTCAAAAACTATAAAATACCGTTACATTTCGCTATCTGTTTTCGTCCTTTTTTCTAAAATAGAACACTGTGCGGCGACACTGTTAAATATTAATCGACTTCAAAATTAAAAAATTCAGGTATCCTTATTTTCCTTTTCTATAATTATGGGGGCTGGCAGAATGAAAACCAAAAAAAGTTGATTTTCCTGTGTACTTTTGGACCACCCTAATACACAGTCATACATATCCAATCGTTACCATGCAACGCTACTAGCTGCGGCTTTCTTTGTGTGTTTTCTCATTGTACGTACAGTAATTTTAACTACATATTTTTGTTTCGTTTGCTTCTATAAAATGAATGATTTTTTCCTTTATTTTGCCTATAAAATTTAAGAGAGTCATTAAGTAGTAGCACTCCAATAAAAACAATGTTGTAAACTACTAAAATGTGCAATGGTGTCTCGATAATCTCCACAGTCAATGATAAGGGCCGGTCCGAATTATCTATTTGAACGGAACACCGAGACCTGGTGAAAGGCAAACCTACATATAAATAAAACCAACTGTACTTAAGTTTTCATTTCATTTATAATAAATACTTGATTTAAGAGAATTATTTTTAAAGAAAAAATATTGTAGTACAGTTTTGTGATATCTTCGCGTAATATATTTTGTGACCCTTCATTTAATTAATTTGACTTAGAATAACTTTTTCTGCTGACTAATTTAGTTTTTAACGAAACCGATTCTGAAGGTAATTTCTTCTTCTTATTTGGCACTACAACCGTTCACCCGTTTGGAGCCAGACTTAAAACTTTTCTGCTCTTCAATTTCCTACCGATCCCAATGGTTGAAATTATTGGTAATATTAATGGTGGATTCTAGGTATATAGACAAAGTCATTGACTACGTCGAACATCCAGTAGTGAGTGATGTGTATCCCAATACGCGAAAACTTTTTGTTTGTTACCAGTAACTACTTTGTCTTATTCTCGTTCACGACTAGACCAAAGTCTTGGGTAAAAGATAGGACCTTTCTATCAAGGTTATTTCCTGGCCCTATGTAACCATAGTGAAGCCTATAACATTCTATATAGTCCTCCTGTGATTGGATGCACTGGGCAGAGCTAGGGCTCCCATTGGAATCAATGAGGCGCCGAGGACCACTCCAACTCTGGCTCTCAAAGGCCTGCCTAACATAGCACCTGTCGATATTGCAGTTAAAACAGCTGCAGCAAGGGCGACACTCAGACCTGGGAGCACTGTTTGCCTGACTTAATTGGAAACTGGACACTGTAGTGCTCTCCGGGGCTTCGTTTTAATCCCTGATACTACGAATCACTGCGTATCTAGTCTGGCACCAGCTAGCTCCTTCTTCACGCACATCCCTTCAAGGGATGAGTGGACGGGGGGAAGAAGTTGGAGAGAGGCGCTGTCGAACTTTCAGACGCGTGGGTGGAAGATTGACGGTAGGGCCGGTGGGAGGGGATGGTTTCCAGGGAGCTCTCCATCAACATTAAATTTAGGCTTCCAGACCACTCTAGTGTCTTTCAGGTGAAGGCTGCCGCTTATTAAAGAAGCAGTTAATTGGCTGATGGGCACGCTTGCGGTAAGGAAGGCTAACATCTACTCAGACAGCCAGGCGGCGATTAGAGCCTTGGGCTCACTTACGGTTCGCTGGAAGCTTGTCGAGTAATGCCTTAACTCGCTTTCGATTGCGCCGGATTATCATCATGCTAGACTAGTTTGAGTGCCAGACCATACTGATATTGCAGGAACCTGTACGGCTACTGAACTAGCCGTAGACGTCAACATTGAGGCAGCATAGGGAAGAAAAAAGACAGTGGGTGCTTCCTTGACTACTTGTGGGCTTCTCTTGGAAAGATGAGCCTGGGGTAAGCTCTGCGAACGCTGGAGGAAAACCAGAGCTTGCGCTACAGTGAGGTCATTCTGACCGAGGGTGCAACGGAGCTGATCTAGAGATCTCCATAGGATCGCTTAGCCAGATCTCTCGATTCTGGGTCGTGTACTGACTGGCGACTGTCGACGATCGGGATTCACGCAGGGGGATTAAATATCTTACCCGACCTCTTTTGTTGCTTTAACTTAACAGTTACCGCTCGCATTAGTATCACAAAGGACCAACGTTCGCGTCTAAGTTGTTTCCTTGACAACGGACTACCACCTTAACCTAACCCTCGTTGATCTTAGAACATTTGCGTATGAAAAGATGTACATATTTATGAAACGCAATGCCAGTTTGTTGCTCAGCTTTATACTGAAATCGTTCAAAAATNTGAAATAACAAAATACAGAGCAATTCTGACCAACATTAAAAATTAAAAACAAATTTACATACATACATATACTGATATACATGGATGCATATGTATGCCAATGCCTTGCGTGAGAGGTGTGTTCAAAAACGGTGGCAGTCTAGCGGCATGCAATACTTGTAGCTACAAGCAAAGTGGAAAAAAAGATTGTAAAAAAAAATTTGAATGCCCAGCACTTTTGGTGCAAAAAATATGAAATCGATTTTCAAGCGTCAAACTTAATACCAAATATTTGCGAATAACAACAAAAAGTTTAACAGAAATTTGCGCACGGCAGTCACGTGTAAGTAAGTGTTTCTATGTTTTATGTTTTTGCTTACTTTTCACTAAAAATGCAATTAATTAAAAGCGATTGCACTCTACGCACCAAACAAGACTTCAATGCATTTAACCAGACCAAAAAGCTTAATTGTGTTTCTTTGCTCACGAGCTATGCATTCATGCTTAAGTACATATGCACATATATACCTACATATATACATACATATGTAGCTCTGTATGGCCGCATGCATGTAATTCCGTATGAGTTAATGCGCCACGCGTAAATGATTAGAATTTCAAAACTACATACATACATATGTAAATATACACGACTTTAGGGTGGCCCAAATTTTATTTTTTTTTCAGGAATGCCCAGAACTGAATAATTTCGAAAGTAAGGAGAGCCGTATTTTTTATTTTGAAAGCGGTTAAAATGTAATCGTGCCGCTGGCGCTTTCAAGTTTTCCATTATTTCACATGGGGAAAATATATTTTTTTTAGGAATTGCTATAAAATCGTTACAAATAAATATTTTTTGATCGAATTAAAGTAATAACCTTCTGCAATCTGCCAACAATAGAATTAGGTTACAATTCAACTTTAAAATCTTAAAAGCTATTTTTTCAAAACCGATAATCTCGTCTCGCATTCAGAAAAATTAGTTTTTTTAAGCATTCGTTACCGCATCACGCACGTTTAGTTAATACAATTTTAACGTTCAATTTGCATAATAATTCTATTCTTATAAATCTTTTAAGGCAAATATTTTTATTTGTTCAGAAATATTTATTTAAATAATTTTAAAGCAATTCTACGAAAAAATGTATATTTCCCACATAAAATATGGGTATGGGAAACTTCAAAGCACCGGCGCACAGTGTTCTATTTAAAAAAAAAAAAAAGGGAGACAAAATCAAATATCCCTAGAACGAAAATAAATGGCGAAACAAATTTGAGATGGAGAACTCGGTCAAAATAGTCTCGTTGGATAGAGGAATCACCCTGAGCTTCAAAATGTCATTCAAATATAGACGGCTTTAAACTTTTATTTTTTTTAGCTTGAAACCACTCTGCACTTTATTCTTTAAAAAGATTTAAATATTCATTTCCATGGTTACAAAAACTAAAAAAGGCATTGATTTTTTTTCCAAAATTCATCGCATGCAATTTTTAGGTAAAAGAAAAAAAAATTCTAAAACGTTACTTCTGAAGGTCGGGTTTGAGGTAAAGGCAATTTTTCGTTCAATCAGATCTTTAAAATGTTTTTCCAAAGTAAAATTTTTACTTTGTGTAATGAATTAAAAAAAAGAGATTTAAATTGGGGTTTTCGGTTTTCGCAATCATGGATTCCTTGACGCAAAAACAAAAAAAAAACAAAATTGGTGTGTGAATTCTTCAACTCGAAAGCTATAAAATGCCATTACATTTATTTCGCTATCTATTTTCGTCCTTTTTTCTAAAATGGAACACTGTGCGGCGACACATTTAAATATTAATCGACTTCAAAATTAAAAAATACAGGTGTACTTATTTTCCTTTTTCTATAATTATGGGCGTTGGAACATGAAAATAAAAAAGGGGATTTTTCTGTGTATTTTTGAACCACCCTAATACACAGTCATACATATTTACAATAACAATCTTGCTTTCCCCTATCTTATCCAATCGTTACCATGCAACGCTGCTAGATGCGGCTTACTTTGTGTGTTTTCGTACGTACAGTAATTTTAACTACGTAATTTGTTTCGTTAGCTTCTACAAAATGAATGATTTTTTTCTTTATTTTGCCTATAAAATTTAAGAGAGTCATTAAGTATTAGCACTCCAAGAAAAACAACGTTGTAAACTAAATACTAGAAATGTACAATGGTGTCTCGATAATCTCCACAGTCAATGGTAAGGGGCGGTCCGAAATATCTATTTGAACGGAACACCGAGACCTGGTGAAAAGGTTGTTGACAAATGGGGCCTTTCTACCAAGGTTATTTCCTGGCCCTATGTAACCATAGTGAAGCCTATAACATTCCATATAGTCCTCCTCTGATTAAGTGCACAGTAGCCTGGAGCGTGCCGCCATTGGAATCAATGAGGCGCCGAGGACCATTCCAACTCTGGCTCTCAAAGGCATGCCTAACATAGCACCTGTCGATATTGCAGTTAAAACAGCTGCAGCAAGGGCGACACTCCGACCTGGGAGCACTCTTTGCCTGACTTAATCGGGATCTGGACACTGTACTCTCCTGGGCTTCGTTTTAATCCCTGATACCACGAATCACTGCGTATCTAGTCTGGCACCAGCTAACCCCTTCTCCGCGCACATCCCATCAAGGGATGAGTGGTTGGAAGGTAGAGGTTGAAAGGAGGCACCGGTCACCTTTTACATGGATTGGTTGAAGCTTTCAAGAAGGTTCACTGGAAGGATCTTCTGTAAGGAGCTCTCCATCAACCTTAAATTTAGGCTTCCAGACCACTGTAGTGTCTTTCAGGTGAAGGTTGCTGCTATTAAAGGAGCAGTCAATTGGCTGCTGGGCGCGCTGGCGGTAAGGAAGGTTAACATCTACTCAGACAGCCAGGCGGCAATTAGAGCCTTGGGATTACATACGGTGCGCTCGAAGCTTGTCGAGCAATGCCTTAACTCGCTTTCGATCGCGCCGGATTATTACCGTGTTAGACTTGCTTGAGTGCCAAACCATAGTGATATCGCGGAAAACTGTACGGCTACTGAACTAGCCGTAGACGTCAACATTAAGGCAGCATAGGCAAGAAAAAAGACAGCGGGTGTTTCCTTGACTACTTGTGGGCTTCTCTTGGAAATATGGGCCTGGGGTAAGCTCTGCGAACGCTGGAGGCAATACAGAGTTTGCGCTACAGCGAGGTCATTCTGGCCGAGGGTGGAACGGAGCCGATCTAGGAATCTCCTTAGGATCGCTAAGCCAGATCTCTCGATTCTGGTTCGTGTACTGACTGGCGACTGTCGACGATCGGGATTCACGCAGGGGGTTTAAATATCTTACCACAGTTACCGCTCGCATTGGTATCACAAGGAGCCAACGTTCGCGTCTAAGTTGTTTCCTTGACAAGGGACTACCACCTTAACCTAACCCTCGTTGATCTTAGAACATTTGCGTATGAAAAGATGTACATATTTATGCAACGCAATGCCAGTTTGTTGCTCAGCTTTATACTGAAATCGTTCAAAAATGAGTTTATTACCATTTCGTTTTGACATGCCATAAGCGCAGATAAGAGAGCGAACTTGAGAAATTTTTAAGCCGTTGGATAATGTGAGACGCATAAACATGAACATGTATGTGTGGCTACTTTTAATTCTCACTGTGTACCCAATATACAATATACATACAGTCCCACAAAGCTTTCAAATGCTCAACAGCCGCGGCAACGTCAACAGCAGCGGTGGCGGCATCGGTGGCAGCGGCAGCAATGGAGACACATGGCTTCGGTGGCTGTGCACAAATGCGTGTGCTTGGAATTTTAAATGAATTCGTGCTTTCACGCAACCAGCGTCCAGTGTTGGCGACACCAGTGGCCATGGCCACTGCCATGCCAAGACGGTAGCGCTCTGAATCGTCGGCAGTACTTAGGTAAAGGTACATAGTGACAAATAGGTAAATTAAAGGCAATAACTACTAGCCCAGCTTTGTCCACAATGCAGACACTACTTGCCATAGCAGCAGCAGCAGCAGCAGCAGCAGCAACAACAGCCGCAACGGCAATTGCTCAGAGTTGTCATCACTTTAATGACGCTCCAATGCCTTGTTTGCCGCTTGTCTTACGCTGTCTAGCTGTCGGCGCGCGGCAAATTTGTCTTCTGTTGCCAGTTGCCAGTTGCCAGTTGCAATCGCCTTTCCCGCTTTTGTTCCCGCTATCGCTATTGCTGCGGCTACTGCCCCATTGCTTGGTACCGTGATGGTGGTCGCTAGCGTATTTTTTCCGACTAAATTTAATTTCTATTCAATTTCTTGTCATCACACGCATACAAATAAACATACATATGTACATAGATATGTGCACTTGCGTACGCGAGCTAGTAGATAACTCTAGAAATGGACTTTTTCTGCATACTCGAGTAGTAGCAGCAGCAGCAGCGACAAATTGCCTTCAACTTCTGAGAGTCTTCGTATGTACGAATGTATGTAAGGTACTTTACTTTTATGAATTTTTTCTTTCGCTTGAAAAACTTTTTTTTTTTTTTTTGTTNTGGTGGTCGCTAGCGTATTTTTTCCGACTAAATTTAATTTCTATTCAATTTCTTGTCATCACACGCATACAAATAAACATACATATGTACATAGATATGTGCACTTGCGTATGCGAGTTAGTAGATAAGTCTAGAAATGGACTTTTTCTGCATACTCGAGTAGTGGCAGCAGCAGCGACAAATTGCCTTCAACTCCTGTGAGTCTTCGTGTGTACGTATGTATATAAGGTACTTTACTTTTATGAATTTTTACTTTCGCTTGAAAAACTTTTGTTTTTTTTTTTTGTTTATCGTCATTACGTTCACGTATTTGCGTATTCGCAATGCATTTATTTATTACGATTTACTCATTCAGCTGTCATACCGCAGTAGCGCAGGCGAGTGTGTCTAGGGGCCAGCAGTGGGCTCGAGGTAGGCAATAGGAGGTAAAGCATAGCATAAAATGTGTGCCTGACTTGAATATTTGATAGAGAAAAAAGCGAGAAAATAAAATTCAAAAAATGCGCACATTAAAACATAGAAAATTTATTTTCACATTTAACGCTCTGTTGACACACGCAAGTGCGCTGGCTGGCTATTGATGCTATATGTATATACATATGTACATATGTAAGTATTTACGTCGTATTTTTATCATTGTTGTTGCACGTTTTTCTGCATTTCTGCAGAATTTTAATGCCTCGGCACAATGTGCAGGCCCACTTACATCCTCCTTCGCCAGCTGGTGTTGGTGTTGTCTTCAAGCTGTCCGCCTTCACCGCCGCCCCCACACAGCGTCTTCAACGTCTCAACGTCTTCGGAGC